AAGGAAAGAGAGGGAGGGAGGGAGGGAGAGAGGGAGAGGGAGAGAGAGGAGAGGCTTTTCCACTTCACTCTTTTAATTTGGGACCAAATGAAACTCTCCTTTCTGCATGTGCCACAAAATGAAACCCACCATCTTGGCTTCCTCTGCATGACACACTAAGCCACAGAATAATTAAGCATTGTGGGTTGTGTTAAAAACAGGTAGAAATTATTTCTCAGAGCGGATCAACATGTTGTCTGAATCTAGTCGAGGTTTTGCTGGTGTGAGAGGCTCAGCACCGTCACTTCTCGGGTTTTGAATAGTTTTCACAGGGAGCAACTCGTCTTATTAATTTTATGCCTTTCATTTTTAAAGTGTCTGATGTTTGAAGCCGTTCCCTGGAACCTCCAAAAGAGAAAACACCACAAAGCATCAACGCAAAGTGCCACAAGCCCAAAGTTGTCTTCTCCCCTTTGGAAAGGAAACCAGGAAGAAGAAGGTGAGAGGGAAGAAGGAAGTAATTTTTTAAACGATCCGAGGCTAGATTGATTTGGTCATCAAATGCCATTTCCTCAAATCTTTGCTCAATCCATATTGCAAAATGTTTTACATAACCCCCATTATACTTATACACACATAGACACATGCATACGCACACAGAGGAGAGACGTTTACAATCCTGTAACTGTCAATACAAGAACATTGACGTCATTTCTGCTTTGTTGTCTCGCAGCCTCTAAGTCTAAGGGATAGAACAGACCAAGATATGAATTTCAACTCAAGCCGTAGGATACCGAAGCTGAGGCAAATACACTTTGCTGGATCATTGTCTTCAGAGGTCTTGAGTCAGGAGCTCTTAGCCAACTTCCATTCAGGCTCCAAGGAGGCAACAATCATATCTCACCCACCCACCCTAAAAAAATATTATCTGGTACAAAGAAAGCCCCACTTGGAAGCCCTATAGGGGAAGAACTGGGGGCTCAAAAAGTTCAGAGCTCAGTTTGGACACATAGGTTTGCTCCCTTCTCCAAAAATGCCCTGATAGTTTGCTGATGGTCGCCAACTTCCCAGGGCTGCAGACAAAGATCAAACCATCTTTCTAACTTGCCGTTGCTTCTGATAGAAGAGAATCTGTAGCTCAGGATTGAACTGGAGCAAGGGGTGTCCCTGGTGACCTCTGAACTTGGTGGTTTTCTGGTAGAGGTTTTGGGACCCAATGAAGGAATATCATCAGTGCTGGAAGCAGCAGTCGGATCCTGCCTGTTCCACTGCCAGTTCGGTGATTGTGGGCATGCATGCGTGCGGCTGATTTTTCCCCCCTTTTCTCAGCTGATCCTGGGAGGCGTTTTTTACTACCGGTTTGGACAAACCGGTCTGAACCACTGGCTGGAAAGGGGATGGAGTTTGTGGAATGGAGAAGGAGGATAAGGGGACAAGAAAGGAGGAGGAGACAGAGAAAAAGAAAGAGAGAGAGAGAGAGAGAGAGAAAGAAAGAGAGAGAGAGAGAGAGGAGGAGAAGGAAGGAAGGGGAGAAAGAAGCTGCTTCATCCTAGCCAATGCAATCTCCCCTGACAGAGAAGGTGTTTATGAAATGAAAGCTAGAAATAGCTAATATATTAGTGAAATATAGAAAAAAAGGTTTATAGAATTAAACATGTTAAGGAGTGTTATAGTAATAGAGATGTTGTGTATATTAATAAGATAAGGAAGGAAGGAAGGAAAGAGGGAAGGAAGGCGGAAGGGAGGGGAACGAAGAAAAGGCAAGGGGGAGGGAGAGAGAGAGAGAGGGAGGGAGGAAGGAAGGAGG